TAGCCATTATTGACTCTAGATGATAGGTTTTGGAGTGTTTGTGGTACTGGGGTTTTAGCAAAGTATTTGAAATTTTTCATTATCATAGGATCTAAAGGTGAAATCATTGTAAAGAAATATTAAGGGCCACTGGAGGTCTTCCTGATCCTGCCTTGTGGTTCGTGAGACTTTTCCTGGAGGAGAGACGTGTCGGTAGTGGCTGAAGCCCACTCTAAACCAAACAAACAACTGCCTTTCTTCCAGGCCATCTTGCTGGCTCAGCAGGCCACATGGAGGTATTTCTCCAGGAAAACTGTGCATGCCTGGTCTCCATCACCATCAGAGAGGCCCTTCCATGTTGTATACTGTACCACAGGCTCCCCTTAGCAGCTGTAGAGAAGCTGTGAGTGCACCGGAAAAGAATCTCCATGGTAGATACTTGCTTTGGGGATTATGAACTATAACAATCCAAATAAATGACCACTTCCTTAAAATGAGCATTACTCATCAGAGCACAGTTCTACTTAAAACTGATCTAGAACTGAGTGCCAATGGCTCACACCTGTAATTCTAGCTATTTGGGAGGCTGAGATCTGAGGATCACAGTTTGAAGCCAGCCTAGGCTGAAAGGTCCCTGTGAGACTCTTATCTCCAGTTAATCACCAGAAAACTGGAAATGGTGCTGCGGAGTGGTAGATCTCTAGCCCTGAGCACAGAGAACTCATAGACGGCAACCAGGCCCCAGAGTTTAAGCCCCACAAACATTACCACCAACACCAACAAACTGATCTACATGCCTTGCTAAGCCAAGGTGGAATCCTTTCAACTCACATTTGACTTTTTTTGGGGGGAGGGAAGGTGTGGCTATTTTTGCTTTTCTATTCAAGGAGTCTCAGAAAGTCTTATAAAGACATTGCACAGCAGTTTATTTTAGAGAGAATATGAGATAACAAAGTTAGAGAGTCCAGATTGTCATTTCTTTCATAAACATTAGTAAATCCCTCTCCCATTTTTTCACCTAAGAGAATTAATATTCTTTGGTGAGCAACCAAGAGTACTACAAGAAAGTTAATAAGGTCATGATTTGGGGAGCCTGGAGGTTGTCTATAGGATACAGAAAAGCTCTGTACAAAGTGCAGAGACCAAAAAGGGAATGAGAACGGAAGACTTTGAGCCCAGAGAAGAAGGACTTGCTGGTACTGGGTAATCATATGACACTAAACAATTCTTCAATATAAATTATTCCTAGAAATGCACAGACCTAAAGACTTCTGGTGGAAAGCTGCTTCTGTTACAAACCAACCTCTCTTTAATCTCTTTAATCTCAGTCTCTTCCTGTGTCTGAAGTCTCATATTAAGGAGGACCGCTGTAGTTAGCAAGAAAAAAAAAAGATATACTTCATTGTGATTTACAAGTGCCTAACAATCTTGGAAGACTATTGCTAAAATAGTTTTCTAATAAAAAAAGATGATCACTTAATGATTTTCATTGACTCTTTCTCCTAAGTTTCCTCCTGACTCGGATTTTCTTTTATTTAGAACATTGAATTGGAAGCTGTGTGCTGGTGCCCGAGTAGGGACAGCAAAGGGCATTCTAAATTCTTCACCAAAGTGCTGCTGAGCTTCAGGAAATAGCCCTGGCTAAGTACAAAAATCCCAGTGGCCTGTTGAACTCAGTTATGAACAATGATAGATAAGAGTAGTGATAAAAACATAGTCTTTATTACTGCCCATTATCTTTTGATAAATGAAGTACATCTCCCTAAAGCATTTCAGTTGAGTATGTTTTAACAGCAGTAATTTTCTCTGTTTATATATCAAATTTAGTTTGCTGTAAGAGCTGACATAAGTACCTTTTGTGTTTAATCTCTCTTCAAGTTTCTCTTTGAATAATAAAGTTTCATGTGACCAGTGGAATTTGCACTCGGCAGGTGCAAATCTTTTTTACATGTTAAGCTTGCCATTTCTGTTGAGGTTCTGTTAGGTTAGGTTGTCCACTAAACCACTAATACCAAGTTGCCAGGTTAGCAATACTTTTAACATAATTGTAAATTACGGAGGTGTAGGGGTAGGGAACTAAGTTTTAGTCATCTCAGTTCTTCTAGCAATTTCAGCAATAAATCATCAGGAATCTGCCTTATACTACTTTCTTTTCTATAGAAAATACCATATTGTGACTTTATTGTTAAGCAGCCCAAATTGGATTTGGTTATCGCTCAAGTGGTATCTACTGATACCAGACTTCCTGAACTGTGCATTTATGGTCAACTTCACATTTAGCCTCTTCCTAATAATAACATTTTATTGCTGGATATTTGGGACAGGAAGAAGGTTTGAAGTTTCAAAAGTACCATCTGGATCTAAATCATTTAGAACTGTAGGCTGGCAAAAGCAGAATGAATTAGATATTGCATATTCATTTTTCTTGTTCGTTTCTTTGGAAAACTCATAAATAATTACTTCAAAAAATCACTTTTAAATTTTGCTTATAGTGAGTTCCAAATTGCAAAGGGTTCCTTTCTTCTAACACCTTCTTCCCTAGCAGCAGGACAAATAAACAGATGTAGAAGTGACTTCCATTCTCTCTGTTAAAGTATACAAAGTAATACTAACAGTTTTCATATTTTGTTTAACATTTTAGGACAAGAGAGCCATGTGACTAAAATGCAATCTTTTTTTTTTTTTTTTTTGTCAGTCCTGGGGCCTGAGCACTGTCCCTGAGCTGCTTTTTTGCTCAAGGCTAGCACTCTACCACTTGAGCCACAGTGCCACTTCCAGCGTTTTCTGCTTATGTGGTACTGAGGAATTGAACCCAGGGCTTTATGCATGCTAGGCAAGCACTCTACCATTAAGCCACATTCCTACCAATCCTTTTTTTTGTTTTTTGTTGTTTTGTTTTTTTGTTAAATGATGGGGCTTGAACTCTAGGCCTAGGCTCTGTCCCTGAGTGCTTCACCTCAAGGTGCACACTACCACTTGAGTCACAATGCACTTCTAGTTTTCTGGTGGTTAATTGAAGATAAGAGTCTCACGGACTTAACTGCCCAGGCTGGCTTTAAACCACGATCCCCAGATCTCAGCCTCCTGAGTAGCTAGGATTTCCGGTGTGAGCCACCAGCACCAGCTTCATGCAATCCATTTTTTAATGTATTAGGAAAAATCCATTTTGTTTCAGCAAATCTGGAAGTTATCTTTTCATACATGTCACTGTTACTTCACTGGATGACTAAGGTAATTGTGCTATTCAGAGCCTTAGCTTGTTTGGACACAGCATGTGTCTGTGTTTACTGGTGTTGGAAATCTTTCTGCAGGGGTTGTCAGAAGGGTACTGAATATAACACCAAAAGCTTCTTGAATTGCTTCTAATTAAGTTGTTTTGAAACAATCCTTGTCAAGGACTGTTTGCAGGAGAAGAGAACTTGGTTTCCCTAGAGATGGTCTAGAGGTCCTGGATCATTTCTTCCACTGTCTGCCCTTCCAGTTTCATGGGTAAAATGCTATCTTGGAGGCTTAGTAACTTCCTTGAGGTTGTCTTAGCTCTTGGGAATTTTCAGCCCTCTCTAGTAAGGTTCTGATTGTCCCACCAGATACTTCACTTTGTTAACTGGGAACATTTTTTTTTACCTTTTTCAAAAAGATCAGCAACAGATTCATTTAGACCTGGAGGAATGCTGGAGAGGACAAAAGGAGAGAAGAAATTATTAGGCTGGTACTTTGAGTTAATTATCTGATGTTCTCTTACAATCATGCTAGATCAACTGCAATATCTCCACTTTTTACAGATAATATTCACTCTTTTGGACAGATTTCTTTAACTTGATGGTTTGTTTGTGTCATTTAATGCTTACTGCCTGTAGTTGTAGGCCATTCATCTTTGAGAGTAGCATAATATTTTACTGGGTAGCTAGATACACCCTCATTTAGAAAATTTCTGTTGATGGACTTTTTATTGGCTCCAATCTGAGAATATTGGGAAATCCTGTTAGGGACACTGTATATCCATGCTTATTACATTCAGCTTTAGATTCTTAAATGGTTTTTTAAAGTAACTATACCAATTTGTACTCCCAACAGCATATTTGGAATTCCAATCTCCCTAAGTTATTGCTAGAACTCAATGCTCTATCTTTTTCACATAAATCATTCTAGTGATTTGAGAATAGGTCTTTTGTTTTTGTTTTTGTTTGTTTTGTTTTTGTTTTGCCCTCAAACAAAGAAATGATCCAGGACCTCTAGACCATCTCTAGGGAAACCAAGTTCTCTTGAATTCAGGGTCTTGTGTTTGCTAGACTAGCACAAAACCACTGAGCATTGCCTACAGCCCTATTTTTCACTGGTTATTTTATATTTAGGGACTGGGAGGGGTGGAAGTTGGAAGTAAGCACTTGGCTTGCTTTACCTTAGTGCTTTACCAATTAATTATGCTGTACCTGCAAACATAGTCTTTGCTGATTATTTTGGGGAAAGAATCTCACAGACTTTTCTGCCTGATCATATGTTCTACCATGATCTTCTGGTATCAGCTTTCCACATAGCTTTCAATGACAGACATATGTTACTTGTACCAGCTGTGAGCTGAGAATGGGTCTTCCAAGTTTTTCTGCCCAAATTGGCCTCAAATTGCAGTCCTCCCATTCTCAGCCTTCCAAGTAGCATGAGCCACCAGTAGCCACAAACTATTCTTTTCATAAGCTAACAAGTAACAAATATTTAGAGCAGGCCAAGATCTATGCATCAAGTCAGACTAAGTTAAGCATTCGCCTCAAAAGCTCTAGTTTCTATTCATATTAGTCTACCTCATTTATTCTGTTTTACAGATGAAATGACTGAGCCACTTTGGGGTCTAGGAGCCTGTTGTAAGGCTTCCTTGAAGATAAAAGGTAGTAATATTCACTTAAGTAGGGCTCTCTTTTGATACTTTTATTCTTTGATTTGTTAAATTATTTAATGCATAATACAAGGCAGGTACTGGGCTTTGGTCACAAACAAACTTGTAAAATCAAAAACCTTTAATTTTACAGGTTATGGTTTTCAAATCACAGCCTATTTCCTCAAGCGAGGAATCCACCTTCGCTGCATTGGGAGACAGAATACTGGTAAGAAGCTGTTTTCTTGGATCATCAATTACTTCACACAACAACTTGCTCTGGAGAAGAGGGATGCAAATTAAAGAATGAAAATTCATTCTTGCTTTATTGACCCCATGTAATTGAATATTTTAAAACATTTGTGATTTTATTCCCCAACTAATATGTATTTACTACCCGAGACCAGAAAGCTGAGCCACACTTAGGCCTTCCTGATGCATCTCAGCACTTTCATTGAGTTTCCAGAATACTTGGCATACTCTTAAACTCTGGCTCATTTCATCAAGTATCTATATACACCAAGGCCCTGGGACACAGAGCAAACAGGTCCACAAGAAATCACTGCCCCTGTACAGAGCCCCAAGAGCTTTCCCTAGATGTGTCAAGGCTAGTTCCCATATCTCACTTCCCAGAAGTTGAGATGTCTACTAAGAAAGTGACATCAGATATTTCCTGGCTACAGCAATAAAGTCGGAGGTAAAAACTATTCTCTACGTAGATTTGAGCATTGAACAGAGAATTTAGCCTAACTTTCTTGAGTGGTGTGTGTGTGTGTGTGTGTGTGTGTGTGTGTGTGTGTGTGTGTGTGTGTGTGTGTGTGTGTGTGTGTGTGTGTGTGTGTGCATTGCATGTATGTAAAACAACTCTTAAATGATGATCTGTACTTTCTTATCCTAAATGTTGCTCAAATATATTACTCTAATAGGACCTTCTCTTCACCTTTCTTAGTAAAATAAATCAGCTAACCTAGTATCCATTACAATACAATCTATCTACCATTTCTAGTAGGGACTCTTGTTGCTCAAATCTTTACTTAAACTTCAGCTAAACAGAGATTAAAAAGAACAGACAAAGCTTTTGATAATATATAATGTTCACTCTCATGCCTATAATACAAGCCACTCAGGAGACAGATCTGAGGATCAGCCAAAGAAGACTCTTATCTCCAGTTAATCTGCAAAATGCTAGGACTAGAAGTATGGTGCTAGTGGTAGAACAAGCCAAAAAAAAAAAAAGGAATGAAAAGTGCAAGGCTGTGAGTTCAAGCCTCAGTACTATCAATAAACAAACAGATAAAGTTTAAAAGTCTGACATTCTTATTTTTCATAGGAGGAATTATAAACAGAAGAATTGTTTGATGGAGCGGATCACTTTGAATTCTAATTCTGATCTAGAAAAGATCATCTTGTATTTTAATTTTTAAGGGAAAGGACAAAAAATAAATTATGTAGCTTAGTTTTCCTTTCCATATTGCCAGAAACATAGTACTTGCTACAGCTGTCAAAAATATCATTTCAGAACTACTGAGTAAGGGCTCAGGATATCACAAGGGGTAGAGCACTTGACCAGCATGCATCGTGCAGAGTGCCATGGATTCAATCACCAATACTGGTAATGAAAACAAAAACTGTTGAATAAATATCAGCTACTTTGATAATTCTGATTTTTCAAAGACCTAAGCTAACTGTAATATCCACGTGGAATAGGAGTTTTAAACACATCTAGACCACCACTTGAAGTTGATGTCTTTATACAAGAAAAGAACTAGTTGAAAGTAAGGCCAGAACATCAGATTAGGCCTTAGTCATGAAGAGCTGTTGATGTCTATTTATCTATGTGGGCTTTAGGAAGCCATGACAAACTTTTGAACAAGAATAACGCTCAGTCACTCCTTAGAACAGGGAGAATGACTACCAAAAAGCAGTGGTCCAGTGGCTAAGAAAACCATCACTGGAATATTGACTCGGCCAAGTGGTATAAGGTGTTAACTGTGTTTAAATTGTGCCTCTACATAATTGACCCCTTTGGGCTTGGCATCTGATTATACCAAATGTGCAGTCATGTAAAAGTCTTTAATTGGCAGATTTATAATATCCATTTTTTAAACATTGCTCACATCTAAAAAGGAGTTTTGTTTCTTCAAAAAAAAGACTACATCTGTTACAAATGTGTATATGTGTATTATAAAAATACTTAATATAGCAAATACCAATAAAGGAGGAGTACCCTACCTACTCATCCAGGATAGATGCTATTAACATCAGCTCTATATCACTCCAGACATTGCCCCAGGGCTTAGCTGATGTAAGGAAGGAAGAAAAGAAGGAAGGAAGGAAGAGTGAACAACTGAACAAAGGAAAGATCTGGAGGGCATTATCATTTAAGTTTCCTTCACTGACTATGAGGGAGCTCTGGTATATGAGTCACTCATCTTTCCCCACTGGAAGTCACTGACTTTTCTGTGAGAAATGGCAGTAGCAGGTTACTTGGACTTGGTATGGCTGTGTCAGACCTACAGTTGTATGTTTAACTATCCCTAAGAAAAGCTGCTATGTTCAGACCCTGTTCAGCTTGGAAGATTGCCCTAGTATAGTGTAGGGGACTTCTCTTAAGACCAGCTGGCCAGGGAGAAGTATAATAACTAGAAAAAACATGGATGAGTCACATTTTTTAATTTTTATATCATATTCTTTGTCTTTTCTAGAAGTCTCTACTCTTACTAGAAAATATTGATACTTCCTAAATTTGTATAACCAATAGAAAACTGAAAATGGACACAGGGAAAGCTACAAAGGCCTTGCCTGGGGGCTCCATGTGGTGTAATTGTCCAGGGCTCAGGTGGACCAATTTGTATCCTCTTCACCTTTCCCTCCAGTATTGTGTTTTCCCTGCCCTTTTGATGGAAACCATGGAGAGAGAAGGGAAAAGAGACATGCATTTGATATGCAGAAAGAGAGCAAACATTTCAGTGCTCATAGTTTTTGTGGGAGGTTTTGATGCCTTCAGTAACTTGATTTCCTTCATTTTGTGTAGATCTCCAAGTATTCCCTGATAGATTTGTGGTCTGCGTTAGTCAGCTTGCTCACAGTCATGACATCTTGGTAAATCAGAATGAAGAATTGGTATGTATGAAAAACTTCTTTAAGCAAATAAATCTGCTTAAATACTAAATTACTGCATAAAAAACTTTTTTAAGTCTTTTAGTGATCATTCCTCTGTTGAGCACTGAATGCATGGTTAAGGGACATACATATTGTGTGTGGTGATACTAATTTATGTGTTGAAGGTTTTTAAATTTTCCTTTTTCCTGTAGAACTCTTGAGTATTTAGCCTGATGAACAGTATCTTTTAACTATCAATTTTAACTGAGAAAGCAACAAATATATGACAAAAGCCTTGATTTTTATGATAGTATTTACGTGAAATAAAGCAAAATCCGCATGTTTTCACTGGAGGTTTTCATTGGGGTCAGTGGCTTCTGAATTTTATTCCATGATGAATCACCAATGTTTTCATGAGAACCAGTGTTTCTCCCCAGTGTATTATTCCAGAGCTGATAGAGTTCATTCCTCCTCTTTCTTTTCTCATGCTAACATCAGGGCCTGTTTCTGTTTCAATGGAGTTCTCTAATTAGACAAATAAATATTGAAAACTTAACACACAGTGTTGTAGCTTACAGCGGGGTTTTTTACACTTACAGTCCCCTGGGCACGCGCGCGCGCGTGTGTGTGTGTGTGTGTGTGTGTGTGTGTGTGTGTGTGTGTCTTGCTGCAGTCACAACCCAACCTATTTAATTATACTCTGCTCATATACTTTTTTTCTTTTAGATGTACGACTTAAAACTAACGTACAGAAAATTTAAATCCATCAGGGCTGGGACGGTGGCTCAGTGGTAGAGCACTTGCCTTGCATGCCTGAAACCCTGGGTTCAATTCCTCAGCACCACATAAGCAAAAAGAAAAAAGCCAGAAGTGGTGCTGTGGCTCAAGTGGTAGAGCGCTAGCCTTGAGCTGAAGAGCTGAGGGACAGTGCCCAAGCCCAGAGTTCAGGCCCCATGACCAGACCCAAAAAAAAAGAAGAAAAGAAAAAAAAAAGAAAATTTAAATCCATAAGACATTAATTAACCTTGTCACAAAGTATAGCATGATTATTGTACTTTTAGAATAATTTATGAGAATATTAGATTAGCTTATCACATCTTAAATACATAAAAAGAGTGTTTCAGGGGCTTTAAGAGAGAATGAAAGGCCCAGGAAATGGAAAGAGTAAAGAATTCTGATTTACATTTAGATTCCTTTCTTTTGAGCAGGGGATGTCTTTGGAATAACTAGTGTGACCTCTTGTATTTCCTCTTCTCCATCCATTAAAAGTGTGTAGGTTAAAGAAAATAAAGGATGCAAATTTGGTAAAAAAAAAAATTATTGGTAAAAAAATTATTTGAAACATTCCCAGGATGTTGAATTATCTTAAATTAATAAATACTAAAGCAGTAATGCTATTGGCGTATGATTTTATTATCATGTTGCTTTACTGGTTTTCAGACCAAAGAAGAAATTGATCTATGGTTTAAGAAAACAATAATTAACTGGACCAGAATGTATTATTGCTTTCAGATGGGATACAGGGAAATTAGATCTCATATCTGATATGTAATATTAATACTTAGTATCTTAAATTATTAAGGGGGAATTAAAACATCTCAATTCAAGTGAAATGTTATTCCCCTTAGGGGCCCTGGTATTTATACAGATGTAAGTTTTCTGTAGCTGCTGTTATATAAATCTTTTAATTTAGGGGCGTTCTTATCTATTAAGAATTTTCATTCTGAGAAGTGTGAGTTTTTTTATATGAGAGAGCTTAGTTTCCTTATCTTTACAATGTTCTGATTTCTACTGATAGCACGATCAGTTACCCATGTTAGTGCATAAGAAAAATGCCATTTACATCATGAAACTCTTTCATCCTTTTAAGTGGTTCTTTTTGCTTGTATTCAGTCTTGGTCTTCAGTGACCCCTTTTGCCCATCTCTGACCTATACAAACTTTCCCCAAACCACAAGTCAGGAAACAGTGGACATCCTACGCAGAGCCATCACAAAAAAATACTGAAAACTTAACACACAGTGTTGTAGCTTACAGTGGGGTTTTTTACACTGGATATGCTCTGCACCCATCCATTTGTCTTACCTGCAATCCTGAGCACCTCCCTTCCTCCCAAGCCTGGAGTTTTCCACATCCTCAGGCTTGTCACTAGAAGCTGTGAAATACCCAAGTCAAGTGAAAAGCCTTCTGCAAATTCCCTCTCAAGCCAACTACAGGGTCCTTCCACCAAAGTGTCTCAGAGTTCAACCTCTACAGAGTCCCACTGTCTCAGCTATCTAAGGATCAATAAGCAGTCCCTCCCTCCCAGCACTGCCTTCTGCCCCAGAGGCTCAAAGCCTGTGATATCAGGTTCCCCTAAGATCCTTTGCACTTCCTTCGAGCCTGGAATTCTTTTATCCTTTTATATTGCTACTTTCCAAAGGGCAGGATCCATCCCATTTTCTGCTGGACATGATTCTCAAGGAATATCCAACTGGGCAAGGCCAGTGAACTTGGCTCTTTGAGTAGCTATATTGGCAATAAACTTCAGTTGTTTTCCTGTAATTGTTGATGTAACTCTTATATGCCTATAGAAGTAATGAGGGAATGAGCTAGTCCCTGAGCCTGACCATCAGCCGTGGTGCCTTATGAGTGCTGTAGCCCAGAGGGACACAGATTTCCTTGTCCTGTAGCTTCTCCCCCTCACCCTCAGTTTTGGATTATCAATGTTATCTTAAGTGATATTTCTTAGGAAATCAGGGAGCAAGCTTCTATTCAAAACTGTTATGCCAAGGGAACCTTTCAGCCTGCAGACAAGGAAACCGGCTGTATGTAGCTCCCCAGTGCTCAAAGGTGGTTGCACAAAAGAACCACTGTCCCAGATCGAGCAGCACAAAGGAGAAAAGGCGAAATCCTCCTTCTTTGAGAGATGGAGTGAGTTCAGCCACTGACTCCTTTCCCCACCACACTGGGGAGGTCTGTTTATCTCTCATCCCCGTTGGCTTTCTCTGTCCACTCAGGGCCGGCAGCACAGGGGATCCTTCGTGTTGCAATAGTTCTGCAGAGTGCCCATGTGCTAGGGATGTGGGAACTGTGATGTGTACTTTGGGAAGAAAAGGCATTATTATGAAATGAGTCACTGTATTTTTCTTACTAGAGTTTCTCATAAGAAATCTCAAGCCTCATGTTGCCTTGGTTTTTGACCTATCGCTAGTCTGGAGCTGGGGTTGTCTTTTTGAGAGTTTCACCTTCAGTTGCTCCCTCCCTCTATTGACACCTTATTTTCCTGAAAAATGCAAAGACCATAAAGTAATTTTTACCCTATTTTTATATTCTATTCCAACAATACATATGTAATATATCTATATACGTATTTTTTAACAAATGCATCTCTTTATAGAGACTATTTTCTTTTGCAAAAGAAAAGCTCTGGCTGGAGTTTCCAGGAAGTTTAAAATTACTAATTTCTGTTTATTTATTGAAGTTATGTCAATAACCATAGAGCTGTATATATCTGGGATGTCTCAGCATCTGTACATAGCTACTATTTCAGTGTGTTTGGGTTATAGACACCCCTCCTGGCATCTACAGACCACATCTCCCATCACTTCTGACTGTCACATAATTTGCTGAGCGCTGGCTCTTTGCTAATAGCTTTCCTGGGCACTCAGGAGACAGTACAAATGAGAAAGTACTTTTACCTTCAAAGAGCTTAGAGTCTGGCAGATAAAGGCTATGTAAGGATTTCTTGATGACATAATACATAATTCAGATATCTCCACGTGTCCTCTAAGTGTTTCCATTCTGCATCTGCATCTTTAGACGTTCTGTCAGATCTTTTCTACTGTTCAGAAGCAAAGTCTAAAATTCTAGACTTCCCTTTCTTACTTTGGAACTTAGGCTGTCCAAGACTGTGATCCTTTGACAAATACAGAATGATTGATAGTGCGTGATCCAGTGGCTTATGCTTGTAACAGCTACTCCGAAGGCAGAGATTGGAGGACTAAGGTTGAGGCCAGCTCAGACAAAAAGAAAATAGATATCAAGACTCCCATGTCAACAAATAAGCCAGGTATGATAGTATGTTACTGTAGTCCCAGCTCTGAAGGAGGAGATAGACAGAGTAGGATCGTGATCTAAGGCCAGTTTGGGGATACGGGGTAAGACCCAATCCAAAAAATAAGTAAAGCAAAGAAGGGCTTGCCACCTTAAGTGGCAAAGACCCTGTTAATCCAGCAAGAGGCTCTAGGTTCAAACCCCAGCACCACCACCATCCTCCCCTCTCCCCCCAAAAAAAGAAAAGAGAGGTGGGGAGGGGAGAGGAGGGGACAGGTAGGCATGTAGTATTGGTGCTGCTAAAAATTGGACATATATATTATGTTGCTCAAATTCCCTACCTTATGCTTTATCTGAGCTGTAGCTGAAGGTGAAACAGCTATGAGATTTCTGCAGCCAAACCCTAGCCACACAGGGTCAGGGCCTTACTGTAGCACTGTCTAAGCAGGTTTGCCTAGAGATCTTCACAAGAGACAACATTTAAGTACTAAATCAAGCTCTTCTTTTAAGTCAGACTACTGTTTTCATTTAAAAAGAACAACTTCTTCTAGTTTATGTGAATATAAGGTTGTAATTAAAATAAGCTGACTTATTTTTAGCTAGTCTGTTGTATTCTTCAGCTGTGCACAGTCCAACCTCTGTGGGCTTTAGCCCTCTTCCCAATCAAGGTAGGAGGTATCACATTGTCTCAGAATCCTTTCTTACACAATTTCTGTCAGAAGCAGCAAGTGAAATGTAGCTAAAGAAGGACTATAAAATGGTTTCACATATGGGGCTGGGAAGTTGGCTCAGTGGTAGAGCACTTGCCTTGCATGCCTGAGGCCCTGGGTTCGATTCCTCAGCACCACATAAGCAAAAAGAAAAAAGCCGGAAGTAGTGTTGTGGCTCAAGTGGTGGAGCGCTAGCCTTGAGCTGAAGAGCTGAGGGACAGCTCCCAGGCCCAGAGTTCAGGCTCCACGACCGGACCCAAAAAAAAAAAAAATGGTT